GGATTATTGTGGTCGTTCTGGTGGGGGAACGGGCAGCGAGAGAAAAAGTGAGGATTCCCGCCGCACTAGCTTACCGAAGGCTGATTTTAGCGCCTGTCCAGCGTCCCCGATCCATGTCACCTAGCCACGACGGACCCCAGAACGTGTCAGAATAGTGGTTTGTCCCCATGGTTCCGTGTTTGATAGTCCATTAGGGAAGTGTATTACTTGTCTACTTTGCATGTTTTTCTATACTCCTTCATAATTCAGCAGCATCATGTTCCAGGTAACCGATCCCCATCCACGTTGCATCATAGGCATGCTGACAAGACACAGCGCATTCGGGGGGCCATCGACGCCAGAATAGCAGAAGAGCAAGCGCGCCAGAAAGCCACCTCACCATCGGGCACTCCACGATCCAGCTCTACAACACGGAGATCCAACTCACGCAACCTCTCGCCCTCGAAGCGCACAGCGAGATCGAAAGATGGCGACAGTAGCAAGGCCGCGCCGGCAGGGAAGGGCCCTGACCCCTCAGAGTTTGACCCGGAATTTGTCGTAGGAGAAGAAGATGACCCGCCGAGTCGAGCCGGCACACCGCGACCAAAGGAGAAGGCGCAACCCGCCGAGGTGAATGCGGAGAATGGCGATGGCAAGAAGGAGGAGGAAGAGGGGCCGACTGCCGAAGCGGAAGTGAAGCCAGAACAGCCACCAGAGCTGCCGCGCGAGATTCAATTGCGATTGCGCAGGCTGGACAAGCTGGACCCCAAGTATACGGGTGAGTGACGCCTTCCCTATGCATGCGCCAAGCTAATCCCTCTCCAGAACTCCTTCGGTCGTACCGCATCGCACACGCCAGAGTGGGCGCAATCGAGGCCTTCGAGAGCTCCCTACGTGAATACACCCCTCTCACTTCCATCAGCGACACGGGCGCATTCGTCGAATACCTCGGCCAACTGAACGTCAAGAGTGACATGCTCATGGAGGAACTCAAGCGGGTGTCCAAGGAGCGCGATGAGCTCAACAAGAAGCTGGAGGACGCCGAGAAGCGCGCGAAGGAGGCTACGGCTGAGGTCGAGACGCTGAAGTCCCAGGCGCCGGCTGCCAGCGAGGCTGTACCGGACGATTCCACAACACAGACCGAGTCCGTCGCGCCATCGTCACCCTCCAAAGCGTCTAAGCAAACTGAGGGCACCGAAGACACGGAAGACTTCTTCTCGTACGACAGCGAGCTGCCCCGCCTGCAGACACAATTGCAGGAAAGCGAGGAGAAGGTCGAAAAGCTCGAGGAGGAGAACAAGTCGCTCAAGGAAGAGCTTTCTACGGCTCAGGAATCGGCACATTCATTCATGCAGAACCTGGAGACTACGACGAACGATCTGAACACATTCAAGGACACCCATCAACGACTACAAAGGGATGCTGATGATCGCGAGAAGGAGCTCAACAACACCATTGTGGATCTCAAGTCGAAGGTTGAAAGCGCCGAGGAAGAGCTACACAAGCACAAGGATACTCATGACCAGAATGAGAGGACCATCGCCGAACTCAAGACGAAGCTTGACGCAACATCCAAGGAACTGGAAGAGCTACATGCGGACAAGGGAGAGAAGATTGTCGAAGATGATCAGGTGCAAGAGCTCAAGCAGCGCATCGAGGAACTCCAAGATGAACTTTCGCAATTGCGCGAATCGCAAGCCAAGGCCGAGAAGCGGAACGAGACCATGGACGGATTGCTCGGCAAAGTTCGCGAGCAGCTAAAGACTACAGAAGCAAAACGCGATAGCGCTTTGGTCGAGCTTGAGCAAGCGAAGAAGGACTTGCAGAAAGCGAACGATGGCAAGAAGTCGACCAAACCAGAACCAGTTCAGCAGCCGCAAGCGACCCCAGCACAAGCTCCCCAGAGCGCAGCAGCCAAGAAGAGAGCACGCGCCAAGGAGAACAAGAAGAACAAGAAGGGCGGAAAGGGACCTGAGGCCAGTGGAACGTTAACACCTGAAGCAACACCCAGTGAAGCTGGAGATGCTGAAGGCCTTCTTAGCCCTCGTGATGCTGAATTCTCGCCGTCCCAACTCGAAGACGCCTTGAAGGATGTCGCGCAGCTCAAATTTGACCTTGAAGAGAAGGCTGCAGCGATCGAAACCCTGCAAACCGAGGTCGCAGAGAAGGCGTCGACGATCGACCGCCTCAACAAGAGGGCAAAGGACCAAGAAGACATGCAAGAAGAGATTGATACCCTGCGTCAAGACCTTCTTGACTATGGCCTTGAACACACCGAGGCCAAAGATAAGGTCAAGGAACTGCAAGCTGAGAAGGCGGCGCTGCAAGAGAACCTCAGCAAACTTGAGGCCGAGATCGCTGAGTTGAAGACCAGCAAAGCATCGAACGAGTCGTCGCAACAAGAAAGAGAGGCGCTGACCGCCGAGTTTACGGAGCTCAAGACAAAGGCGGAGACATTGCAGACGGATCTTTCGGTTGCAGAAAAGCTCGCGGCATCCCGCTTCAAAGAGCTCACCGAAATGCGAGAGGTGCTGCAGAAGGCGCAACCGGAGCTGACATCATTGCGCAAGGGAGTGGCGGAGCTGCGTAGCACCAAGGACGAGCTTTCCACCAAGACTACAGAAGTCCGTCGGCTGGAAAACCGCGAGAAAGACCTCAGATCGGAGATTACTGAATACAAGTCTCAGTTGTCGAGCAAGGAGAGCGATATTAAGACACTCAACGACAAAATCAAACAAGAAACTAGCCAGAGACTTGCGCTGGAAGAGACTAACAAGAAGATCCAGCGGGATCTCCAAAACTCGGAGACGGAGCGGAAGGATGTCATCGAAACGCGGGACAAGTTGACGAAAGATGCCAAAAAGGCACAAGACGAGCTCAAGGCATCACGTCAGAAGGTTCACGATCTGGAAGAGGAAGTTGCAAAGCTCATGCGGGAGGTGGGCAGCCTACGTGAAGAGATCCAGATGAAGTCGGCGCAATCTGCGAGCGCGCAGGACTTTGTCAGCAGCATGCAGGACCAGGTACAAGAGATGAGCACTCAAATGAAAGAGGTTCGCGCCCGAAGCGAAAGCCTAGAAGAAGAGCTTGCCGATGCGCATCGCTTACTCAGCGAACGTGGACGCGAGGCTGAGACAATGAGGAGGCTGTTGAACGATGCGCAGGGACGAGCTGATACGCGGGTACGAGAGATGCAAGAGCGCCTCGACCTTGCCGTCGAGGAACGCGAACGTGCAGAAGAGCAAGCTAGCACATTCAGCCGCCGACGCGCTCGGGAGCTCGAAGAACTGAAACAAAAGGTGCGCGACGCCGAACGCGCACAAGCACGCGCTGTGGAAGACAAAGAAGATCTGGTCGCTTCCGAAGGAGCGCTCCGCAAGCAGACGGAGGATCTCGAGAAACGGGCCGCCCAAGCTAGCGAAGAGGCCTCTGAAGTCAGGCTCGCGATGAGCCAACTCCGGGATGCACTGGACGAAAGCGAGAAACAAGCCCACGAGCTGGAAAAAGAAAAAAGCGATCTGCGACGAGCATTCGACGAGACACAGAGCCGGCTTGAGAAGCTCCAAAAGTCCAGCAAGGTACGTACTTCCACAATACCCAACATACAACCTACTTACCACCCCACAGACAATGTCCGACGAGCTACGCACTCTAAAAACCCGCGGTTCCAGCTCCACCCCCGTCCCGCAATCTTCACGCTCCTCAGTCGAGTCCTCACGGTCGCAACTAGCTTCACCGCGTCCCAGGGGCGGTGGAGCAATCCAAGAAGCAATCGACTACGTGTACCTGAAGAATGTGCTCCTCCAGTTTTTGGAGCAACGAGACAAGAAGTATCAGCAACAGCTTATTCCTGTGCTGGGCATGCTGTTGCATTTTGATAAGCAGGATGAGCAGAAGTGGATGGCTGCTGTGAGTGCGAAGTAGTGGTTGTGATTGGGGTGGGTGTGGTGGTGGTGGGATGCGGCTCTCCGCAGTGAGGGATATGCGAGATGCATGCTTTGAGCGTGATGCGCAGGTCAGGTGTTACAGGGCTGCTAATGGATGGCGCGCGAATGTAGGATATGGGACGTTTATAGTTTTGCATAGCGGTTTCTTCTTCGCAGGTCATGGTTTGGATGGACATGTATTATATAGTGGTGGGTTGCAATGGCTGCTCCTGCCTGCCCTACAGGTTGGGCTGAGCATAGCTCTTTCTCGAATAGGCGCTTTCAACGCGAAACCTTAGTGTTCGATACTCAGTAGGAAGGTATAAATGACGCATCCTAGATGCGGTATTAAAGATGATTTGGAAGGTACAGATGATGTGGTATGATGTGGTCCAGGGTCCTCAGGTGCAGTCGGTATGCTGATATTGACATCCCACGTGTGCTGCAGATCGGGTCGCAACAACAAGCATTGCTGGTTCAAGCCTACCACATTGCTAACTTGCAACCGGCCCGGTACGTCTAGGCAAGCTGCTCGCTGCGCTAATTTTTAACAAGATGCAAGGCTTTGGGCAAAACTGGCTTGCGTGGTCGAACTAATGTGGTAGCAGGCGACTATTTGTAGGCGTCGACTGATGTCATAATTCGTCTGGCCTGCTTCCTTACCGCTTCCTCCGGCTTTGACGCGCTCCAGCCATCCGTCACCATCTCTATCATCATCCCAAGTCGCATCGAATTCTCCGAGAAGCGAGTCCGACTTGATTAATCACGCATCTCTCCAAGCGAGTCATCTCCCGTGGTTGTCGCAGCATCGCGCACCCGTGCAAACCCCCACCAGAGCACCAATCAGAGCCCCGACATCGATAGGCTGGCGAGGGGAGCGCTAAGCCCGTGTCCAGCAATTGAAGAAATCGCGAGGCAGTGCGACAGAAGAGCCACACTGCCCTCGCTATACACCTGCAAGCCCATACCAAGTAGTCTGCGTCTGCCCATGAGCGCTGCCCAACGCGTCCGGAGCGCCTAACCGCACACGCACATCCCAGCAGCCCTCGAGCCTCAGTCCCGCCCACAGCCCAGCGCGTGGCGGGGAAAGCCACCATGAATGGCACCGACATGAAGAAGGCGGCCATCAACAAGGCCAAGCAGGTCGCGCAGGCTGCCAACAGCAACGGCGGCAAGAAGCGACGGAAGGGCCAGGACCTCAAGCCCATCATCACCACGGAGAACCAGGGCAACCAGAACGCCTCGCCCGCAGGCTCGACGGGCTCCTTTCAGTACAAGTACGTTCACCACCACCACCACCCGCAACCACTACCCTCCACCACCGCTTGCAGCCTCACCCTTCCCGCCCGCCCAGCCTGCGCCCCCCTCTTTCACTTATTTTAATGCGCCCGACATGCCCTGACTGCCGCAACCTTATACTGACCTCAACCCCGCAGTGTGCAGAACGCCAACTCGCCGCTCGCCCAGCACAAGATGTACGGAAACCAATTAAGCCACTCGCCCGACTCGTCGTCGTCGTCGGTCGATGAGGCCGAGAACACAGCCGACGAGGAGGACTCGGAGGACTACTGCAAGGGCGGCTACCACCCGGTGCAGGTCGGTGAGGAGTACAAGGACGGCAAGTACACGATTGTGCGCAAGCTTGGGTGGGGCCATTTCTCGACCGTCTGGCTGTCGAGGGATAACACCAGCGGCAAGCACGTCGCCCTCAAGGTCGTGCGCTCCGCTGCGCACTACACAGAGACCGCCCTCGACGAGATTAAGCTCCTCAAGAAGGTGGTCGACGCGAACGAGAACCACCCCGGCCGGAAACATGTCGTCAGCCTCCTCGATTCCTTCAACCACAAGGGCCCGAACGGCGTCCACGTCTGTATGGTGTTTGAGGTGCTAGGAGAGAATTTACTGGGCTTGATCAAGAGGTGGAACCACCGCGGTATACCAATGCCGCTGGTCAAGCAGATCACAAAGCAGGTCCTGCTGGGCCTCGACTACCTCCATCGCGAATGCGGCATCATCCACACCGACCTGAAGCCTGAGAATGTCCTCATCGAAATCGGCGACGTCGAGCAGATCGTAAAAACATACGTAAAGGACGAACCGAAGAAGAAGGACAGCGAAGACAGCGTTAGAAACGGCAGGCGGAGACGGAGGACCCTCATCACAGGCAGTCAGCCGCTCCCCAGCCCGCTCAACGCGAGCTTCAACCACGCCGAGCTCTCCAGCTTCCCCGGCAACACACAAAGTCTCAACAAAGTTATGAGCGAGGGTACAGGTAAAGACTCCCCCACGACTATCCCGAGTCCTCCTTCGTCAGACGGTGTCGTAATGAGTGGTGCTCTAGCAACTCCATCTGCCGGCCCCAGCCTGTCCATGGCAGAACGGCTCGGAATCAAGTCGAGCGACGACGACGCGCAAAAGCAACGAGAAAAGTCCGCGTAAGTTATCTCGTGTCCATGTTCGAGTATATACTAATCTTGTTAGTGATCTCCTTACTAAGGAGGTATCGGGCATTAGCCTCGATAAACCCAGCAGCTCGTCCGGAAAAACCGAGCTCGAGCAGCAAGTCGAAAACGCCTTCGAAACCATATCAGTCAAGATTGCAGATCTTGGAAACGCCTGCTGGGTTGGACATCACTTTACCAACGACATCCAGACCAGGCAATATAGGTCACCAGAAGTTATCCTGGGTAGCAAATGGGGTGCCAGTACCGATGTCTGGAGTATGGCCGCAATGGTATGAAACCTAACAAACCTGGAAGGCGTGAACTAACAATACCAGACATTCGAATTGATCACCGGCGACTACCTCTTCGACCCACAATCCGGCACCAAGTACGGCAAAGACGACGACCACATAGCACAAATCATCGAGCTACTAGGCACCTTCCCGAAGGGTCTCTGCATGTCGGGAAAGTGGTCACAGGAGATATTCAACCGCAAAGGCGAGCTGCGTAACATTCACCGATTACGACACTGGGCCCTTCCCGACGTCCTCCACGAGAAATATCATTTCAGCTCAGAGGAGAGTAAGAAGATTGCCGATTTCCTGTTACCCATGTTGGAACTACTACCCGTCGACCGCGCAAACGCGGGCGGAATGGCAGGACACGAATTCTTGAAAGACACAAAAGGCATGGAGGGTGTGGATTTGAATATCCCCGTTGGTAGCAAGGGCGAGGGCATCGAGGGATGGGCGACGGAAATCAAGAAGACGCGGTAGAACGCGGTGAGAAAGGTGCTGAGTGCTGCGTATTTATAGAGGATATGCGTGGAATGGTGGAACGGGAGGGAATGGAAACTGCACTGGTTAGCCTGTTTTTGCTGAGCAATGGAACAGTACTCTGCGCTCGTTACGGTTGGTGGGTGATGTGTTGTTGTTGGAAATGGGATACCGCGATAGAAGCATTACGATTATGACTCAATTGTATAGTGCGCTTTTAAGTGCAACGTTCGCAATCTGGTTTTCAAGAGACGTAGATGTGCGCTTCTGCCTGTGGATGGATGCTGTAGACATGGTGGTTGTGGGAACTTGTGATGCGGATTAAATTTGTCTGAGATATGCCGGTGCATCGCTTCGGATATGTATAAACATGATGACTGTTCTCGAACATGGTCACGTCGGATCGAGACGTGGAGGCGAACGGCCGAGACTCGACTGCGACTGTTCTGTCTCGTGTTCGGCTCTCGCTCTTATTCTTGTCCGGGCCTTTCGTGTTTCGCCGACGCCGTTTTATGGGAAGGAACAGAAAGCCGAGATGCGGTGCGATGCTGATGAGTGAGTTGACCCGAGCGTAGTAGTTGTGAAAGAAAGGGGTCTGTGATGCGACGAGGGAGAGTCCGCAAAAATAGCTCTTGCATGATGTCGATGCCACGCCATGCCATATAACGACGGTGCATCAGCATAAGAAAAAGCCGGTATGTCTAGCTGTGCCACAAGCTGTGTTGCCTCATGAGAGGATTAACGCCGGCAAATGTGTTTGGTGCCCACATTCCTTCCGCGCTGGTCGTTAGAGTCCAAGGTTAATAGTTCGATTTCTCGGCGGGAGAAGGCGGGTGGGTATGCGACATCATCGTGTCACTCCAACAATCAGTGCAACACCGTACATCTCCCGCATTTGTTATGTACATCGTGTCCGTCGTACAAGAACCTCGGTACTCCGATGACCCACACACACGCCGTCCGTACAAGCACGGAGGATGCGCAGCACGCCACCCACTCACAACCCACACATTCCGTAAAATCGACACAAGCAACACCCAAAATCGTCCTATCACACTCCGCTATTAACAAAACCCTCATCGTACAAAAACTCAAATCCGCCCATCATCGTGTTCGCGTAGCTATTGCTATACTTAGCAAGAACACACCAGCCACACTCCCAGCTCGCATATATTGAGTTTCGGGATCGCCAAGTGGGTCGAGCGTCGTCATTAACCCACGCGGCTTTAACCACGGGCCGAGAGTTGGTACCTGTAATTCGCGTACCGCTCCTGACCCTCTCGTTCCCGCTGCTGCTGTCCTCGCTATCAATGGTGGATGCTTGGTCCTGGCACCCGTATCTTTGGGTACAGGGAGTGATCTGGGAGCTGACGATGGTAATTCAAGGGACCCACAGTGACGGGGGCTGTGGAGAGTGGTGTGGTTTGGTGACCCCTTGATGGAGGAGGTGCGTGCCACGCGGAGGGTTGAGCATGGCAAGCTTTGTAGATTGTGATTAAAGTAGGTGGGTACGCGGGTTCTTCTGGTGCTTATCTTCAGCCTCTTGCTTCAAGCTTATTTTGTCCACTTCGTCGAGTTGACTGTCGCTGTCTCTGTCTTCTCTCTCTTTCAAAGTCACTCGTTCACAGCATCACCAGAAGAGCGACTTAATTCTACACCTTCCATAATGCATCTCCCCAACGTCTCCTTACTCCCTCTCTCCCTCGTCCTCTTCTCAGCTACCCAAACTCTCGCCCAAACTTCCACAGACTGCGACCCAACCAAGAAATCCTGCCCAGCAGACACTGCACTATCCGAGTCAGTCTACACCCACGACTTCACCACCGGTGCCGACGATGAGAACTGGAAGGTCACTGCCGGCGATGTGAAGTACACATCGAAAGGTGCAGAGTTCACCATCAACAAAGCCGGCGATGCACCCACTATCCAATCGAACTGGTACATCTTCTTCGGTAGCGTGAGCTTCGTGATGAAAGCTGCGCCCGGCAAAGGTGTAGTGAGCAGTGCGATTCTCGAGAGTGACGATCTAGATGAAGTAGATTGGGAGTGGCTAGGTGGACAACCCGGGAATGTGCAGAGTAAGTCCTCCACCATTCTTCCTATCCATACCCCTTCATATCCACTCATAAGAACCCCCCACTAACGCACACCCCCAGCAAACTACTTCGGCAAAGGCAACACCACAACCCACGACCGCGAAGTCGACGCCCCAATCCCCGACACCCAATCCACCTCCCACAACTACACCATCGCCTGGACCTCCACCTCCACAACCTGGCTCGTCGACGGCACCCCCAAACGCACACTCTCCTACTCCGACGCAAACGGCGGCTCCAACTACCCCCAAACCCCCATGAACGTCCGCATCGGCATATGGGCCGGCGGCGACCCCAACAACGCCGAGGGCACCATCGAGTGGGCCGGCGGCGAAACGGATTACAGCGCTGCGCCTTTTACGATGGTGGTGGAGAAGGTGGAGGTGCGGAACCAGAATCCCGGTTCCAGCTATCAGTATGGCGATTTGAGTGGGTCTTTTGAGAGTATTGTTGTTGATGGCGGGGATGGGAAAGTGAAGAAGAGTGGGAGTGGGGATGGTGATGGTGAGAAGAGTTCTAGTGCGAGTAGTTCGGGGGTGAAGACGGAGGCTAGTGCTAGTGCGAGTGCGAGTGCGACGGTTAATGTTAATGTGGATGGGGGTGTTGGGGGTGAGCATGCGATGGAGACGGGGAATGCTACTGGCAGCGCGAGTATGGCTAGTGTGACGCCGACGGGGAGTGCGACGGGCAGTGCGGCTGTGGCCGAGCAGACTGGTGAGTCTGGTGCTGTGGTGGGTAAGAGTCTCGGTGGAGGGCTCTTGATGCTCAGCGCCATGACTGCGATGCTCTGGATCTAGATGTTAGCTATAATTACTTAATCCATCCTTGGGACAAAAATCATTCTGTATTGGGAGCCTAGACGCTGAGCCGAGTATCTACCCTTCGCGCGAAGTTAGATGTGTCGATAATCTCTTCCAAGATGCAACCTAATCCACCTCCGGCTCGTATCTAGAGCCATGTCCAGAGTTGCCCGATCGTTCCTGCACCACTTGCCAATACATCGAGTATGGAAACTCGGTACGCAGCTGAACGGGAATCAAGTCTTCCAATGGGCTTTCGAAGCTGGGTTCATCCACACGCCGGTATCCTGGAAACTTGACCTTCATACTCTTCTGCAACGCTGCAGCACCCTTGACAGCCGAATCCCCCTCTTTCTCAATCATCTTGCGGAGCATTATACCTACCACCGGAAAGATACACGGGTGGTGTGGTTGATTCTTCTTCCAGTTGTACAGCATACAGGGGATAGCGATGGTCAACCATGAATCTCCTTGGAAAATGAATGCTGGATAGTCGACCGGTGCGACCTTCCGAGCGTACTTATGGATCTGCAGCAGTACCTGGGTGCATCGCATATGCAGCTGCAACACGTCGAATGTGAGAGCCGTCTCATCTTTGCTAACCACCTCCTTGAAGATACGTAGCTTTTCCAGAGAAGACAGCGGCTTGTGCGCATTCGGAGACTTTTTCTGAGCGTCTCCAACCAACAGTTCTAATTTGACGAGCGTGTCTTTCCTTGGTTCGTCATCATGTACGGGCCCCTTCTGTCTTTGTTGACGCCATTTCTCCAAGGTCTTGACTTTCTGGTGCGTCTTGTCGCGTGGCGTCCTATCAACGGACGACTCGAGATACTGGGAATGATAAATCAGGCGACGTGTTCCACTGACGCGGGAAACATAGGTTGAGCTGCTGCCTACGGTGCGAGGTCTGTAACCTTTGGTGAAATCGTGGGCCACATTTCCCATGATCAACAGGACGCGTTTTCCGAATTCAGGGTCTTGTTGCGGTTTCTTGCCCATAAAGATCCAGTCGCTACCTTGTTGCTCGATCAACCATTCCATATCTGCCCATTATAGATCTTTAGGTAAATGTCCGGCACGCTGAGCAGCGTTGTACAGATGAGCCATCACAATGATTTTGACCATCATTTGAGGTACATTCGATGGCTACTTCGTGATACTCTTTGCACAGGGTGGCCAGGAGTACGCCGCAGAACGCGGGATCGCACCTCAATAGTGCGAACCCAGGTATCTTCCGGAATTTTGCCGGTAATTGTTCTTCATCAATATCGAACCCCATCTGGGCCTTTTTATTGACAATCAAGGCTTCGGCAAACTCTTTGCGGTCGATAACGCTTTCACGACAGAGTGTATAGATGTCATCTAATTCCTCAAATCCTTTGACGTCGAGGTAGGCTTGGTATCCTGTGATGATCTGCTGTCCGATCTTGTAGAGAAGCTCCTCACCGACAGATAAATGACGCTCCAGCTCTCTTTGCATGTCCCAGAAGATTTGCAGCGAGAAAAAGATCCAGCTTTGCAGCCGGCCCTCGCGAAGCATGGCGAATGCAGCCTTTCGTACCATGTATTCACCCATGAAACGGGGTTCTATCGAAGGTGATGCTGCAAGCTGTGAAACACACTTGAGGAATCTCTTTTCATCGTTGGAGTATCGAAATTCTTCGTTCTTCGTTATATCACTGAATGTGAAGAGGAGCAACTCTGTGACATGCTTGCATACGACAGTGTTGAAGCTCAATGATTGCTTTCCTTGTTTGTAAGCGAAAGGCTCCCCACAATCGTTATTTGCATTGACGAATGTCGAGCCTGGTTCAACCTTGGAGCGGCTGCGCTGTAAGAAGCCGATGAGTTCGCTGTGCACACCATGACCATTTGAGCCCTTGAATCGAGGGTTAGATTCCTCAAAATCGTTGCTCAACTTCTCTATCATTGTCAAAGCGACGTTCATGGTTAGCGCGGCGGCCTGGAGACCAATGTCGCCGTTCGCGAACTCACGCCAAGTGCGTCTGACTGCAATCCTGAGATCTGTAACGTCCATGAGAAAGCAGTAGATGGCGAAGGTAACGTCAGTTTCAGACTCTTCGAGCTTGTAGGTCACCTTCGACTTGGCGGGTGTGGCGTGGACCTCGATAATCTCGGGCATATGGTCGGACTCCGGGAGAGCCTCATTCTCCAGCAGCTCGAACTTGTTACTCGTGCGTATAGCTTCTGCCTTTGTGGTCTTCAGCTGCCGAAGTTCGACTGGTGGCCTCTTGGCGGCCTTGAGGATTCCGAGGACGTCTTCCAAAGTCTTGATGAAGTATTGGTGGCTCGCGTTGTTCTCCTTGACGGCGTTGTCTGCACAGTCAGAAGTGCTTGCGTACCAGACTGCGCAATCTTTGCGACCTCGAATGACAGCCTGCAAGGTTCCGAAGACCGAGGTTGGAACACGTGCACGCGCATCGTTGGCGATAGCTGTAGCAAGAGTGACGAACGATTTAGCCGTGATCTGGTACGTAGCTGGGGCGTTCTTTGCGTCTTTCCGGGCGTTTCCCTTCAATCTACCTCCCGTAGGCGGTTTCCCATGTTGTTGACTATCACTGAACACGTCGTTGACGGTACCAGTGGCGCGGGCTGTCTCAGCTAGCCATTGAACGAGATCTTCGGTTCCTCTCTTGTACTTCTGATACGCATCGAATAGCAAGGGCGTAAGCGCCATTATTGGCAAAGGAGATTGGGTGAGAAATATGGCAACGTGTACTGGTCGCGTCGCAAGTTGGATGTAGCCAAGCACCTGGAGGTGGGGCATAGCTAGACTGATATACTAAACCAAAGCCGTCCGTGCGCGCTCGCAATGAAGGAGGCTTCAGAACAGAGGAACTGCTGTTGCGTGGGCAACGGGGATAGAACATAGCTAATATGTTACTGCACAAGACACGGTGACGGAGCGGCGCTGCATACCTGCAAGTAAAATTAGACCAACACATCGACAGATACATGTGATGAGCATCTAGTGCCACTGTGCTCTTTCCACATCCTTGCTCCATCCATGGCAAGAGAACCAAACAAAATAAATTCGATGAGTCGAAAGCTTCGAGAAGCACATTTACTGTGATGTCGATGCCCGCTGCAGGTTGTAACTACACAAAGACCTCGTTGGAGTGCGATGCTTTAGGCGATGCGACGATATGGGACGACATGACGTGAACAGGATATTGTTGGACAATTGCTAAAGACTGACGGCAATGGGAACTTTACCATGTTTTTCAGAGGCTGCTGCGATGCGAGCATGTCTTCTCAAGCGGCTCCATGAGTGGTAACGAAACTGTCCACATCCAGGTATGCGACCTTTTGCTACATTCCATTAGCTTGAAGTCGTTGACTGATGAATTTCGATCAGAGCTAGCGATCGTCCGGGTTAGCCATCTACCTGCAAGTCGGCATACGTTGGCCAAAAGCTGCGGTTACGGTGTCGGTATAAGGTCTGCATTTCGCGTGAAATGAAGCATGCAAAGCGTTGTTCGTGAGAAGTGCGGTCGTCTAGATCGTGGAGGGTTGTCTATCCCGAGGTCTTCCGGTGGCGAACGTGTCAACGCACGGTCCTGGCGATGTGGGGCTCCGGCTCGCCGGTGGCAGCCTGCCTTCGTTCATTGCGACCACAATTTCTCTAAGAGCTCTGAACTTAGCCATCGCAATCTCTCTCCATCTTTGCACTCGGTGCAATAATTTGATATCGCCTCCGCACACTGCAGACCACTCGTTAGTACAACGCGCCGCAAGACCAAGTAGGTATCTAGACATTGTCTGCTCAGCATGCTATGACATGTCGCTACCTAGCTTGATGTTGATAATCATAGACCATACAGGAGCCTTCTGATTCTCATTAACATTGCAGAAGTGTGTAGCGGACCAGCGCGTCCCAAATGCCAGGCCCCAGTCTGGATCGAAGGTGCAACTTCTTCATTCGCTGAAATGTGAAGCGCTCTTTTGCAACGTCGGCGTAAGCAATATGATCCAATGGAGGATGGTCTTGCAGCCCTCCTGCCTCACACTGCCCCGCTCGGCTTTCACATGCACCGCCCCTATATGCTATCTGCTCAAATAGTCGTCAGTCGTATTCTGGAACCGCCCCGGATCTGCCAACTTACAGCAATACCAGCTCCCCATTCTCGACACCTTCTCTCTTTGCGCGGAACTTCATACGAACTAGTAGCCACCCAAAAAGTTGGGTTTCGAGCTTCGGCATACGCATGTCTCGCTCCTTCCAGTACCGGCCTTTGGACCGACAGACTTCCTCGATCAGACTCATACGGCTCCTAAGCGAAGATTCCGCAGATGGTCACATTCAATGCAAGATTGAATGCGCTACTACAGAAGCCTCATACACCTGCCTCTCATACGTATGGGGCGATGAGGGTGAACCCTGTACTATTCTCATGGACGGCAAACCGTTCAAAGTGCGTCGCAACCTACATCGATTCCTTACACAGGCAAGACGGACCAAGCATCTACTAAGTGCACGTATCTGGATCGACGCCCTCTGCATCAACCAGGACGACTCTTCAGAACGAAATCATCAGGTGCAGCAAATGGGGGTGATTTTCAGCCGAGCGAACGATGTCGTGTCATGGCTGGGGGATGACGTCAATATCTCCGAATGCTTGCAGTACCTGCGGCTACGTACTATGAGCGAAGGCCACGCAAAAGTTAAGGAGACACCGAACTTCGAACAACCTGACTTTGCTGAGTTTGGGCCGGGCTTTTACCATCTTTGCGTTGCTGAATACTGGGATCGGGCATGGATTACGCAGGAGCTCGTGCTTGCACGGAAGACAACACTCATGGCCGCTGACATCGAACTGGACGGTTCATCCTTCCCAGAACTTCCAGATCGGGGAGAGGGCTACCTTTCACGACTCGAGCCACTCCACCAATCTGTTCCTATCAACTGGAAGGGTAGAAGTCTTATCTATCTCATGGACAAATTCAAGCTCAAGGAGGCACACACCTGCCGAGATCGTGTCTATTCATTACTTGCGCTTTGCGGCGAAGGAAAGGATTTACAGGTCAACTACGAAGCTACAGACCTTACAGTGGCAAAACATATCTTAAGATCATGCGAGAAGTCTTTCTGCTTGTGCGCCATCAATTTGGTTGCGTCCATCCTGCAGCTGAAGTCTCCGGATCTAAGCGAAGGAACTCGGGACGATGGACTCGAACTGTTCGCAACGATGACGCTTTCTATAGTTTCACAGGATTTTCTCCACGCCTTGTGCACAAGCGAATCATGTCATCCTTGGAAATCAAGATGCGGTGGTAGACAGTATTGCCATTTACCAGGCTTCGTGGTAAAATCGCCTTCTCGTAAGCTGCTATCGATACAGCTCTTGCTGCGCAATATCTGTGGGCTATACCCATTTACTATTGTCAGGCTTGATGAAGTGGCTCACGTTCCCGGTTTCGTTCTCCGATGGCAAGGAAAGGAATTTACCGTACGATCTTACGACTGCTCCTTGCGATTGAGCACTGACAAAGAGAGCTATGAAGTGAAATTTTCTTTCGATCTCCTTGTCAAACTCGCCCAACTCCATTATGGCTGGTCCCACGGGCTGTGCGTTCGCGTAGCTGATGTAGGGACGGAATCAGCGTCGACCTATGACGATCCTGCGTTGCGGATGCTTTCTTGATGGCTATTTTGAGTTTTCAAAGGTGTTGTTGGATCTAGAAATTACAGAATCGCCGGCAGATGCTTTCTTAAGATCATTCACTTCGAGACCATGGTGTCGCGCATGGCGAGGCTTCGCGAACCCTCACAGGTCTCGGGTTTCGGCTTTAGTGCAAAATTAAGGCAAAACAACTGGCTGCTTTAAACATGCCTCTAGATTAATGCTATGTGTATTAATTAGACAAACGCCTAGGAGCACAACTAGAAAGTGCAACGGATGGGTCGTTCCTACTTTTACGCAAAAGAAGTCATATCGTTCAATCATACCCCTTCTTCCAACTCAACATTAACATCAACCCCATGCTTTTCGAGCAGCAGTAGCATAGACTCCAGCCCACCCTTTTTCGCTCTTCGTACGCACTCCTCTGCTGTCCCAGGGGAATGCAGATTCGCTCCTCGTTCGAGAAGGAACTCAAACAGCGCTGTATGTTCTGCGGCGATCGCTCCTGCGAGAGGACTATCCTTGCCGATGCTTTCCTTTACGTCTACACCGGCGTCAAGAAGTAGCCCGACCACGTCCAGATAAGGCCCTCTTTCCATATTCGCTAAGAGCTTGGTGGGTACTACTGTGCGGCTTTCATTCATGCCCACTTCGACAACCGCATCGCTGATGTTGACCCCACGATCTAAGAGCAGTTTCAAGACTTTGTGTTGGCCATAGCGAGCAGCGCTCGCAAGAGCTTGATTCGGGTCGGCCCCATCGTCTAGTAGAAGCTCGACGATAGGTACGTAGCCACGATCGATGGCGTGCTTGACTCCCTCGTTTCGGAGTTTACATGAGACCTCGTAGTCCGATATGAAAGACATGCAGACTGAGTGCCGATTCCGATCTTCATTGGTATGTGCGGCGACTCGGATTAGATGCGAAACCATATCCATCCTGCCAAGTGCTGCGCAATGACGGATCCTGCCGTAAAGCTGTTTCCTACCGGTCGGATACATGCCATGAGCGATGCGCAAGGCCTCAATGAAGTCCCATATCTGAGGATCGCGAACGCTTGCGCGGATGTCGTACAGTGGGCCCTTGCCCCAAGTTGTGGAGCTTTCGAAATGCCACGGCCAGTCCTCGCTGCGGAAGTTGTATAGGAATCGAACAATGTCTATCCGACATCCTTTTGCTGCAGACTGAAAAAGTTGGAATCTTAACCTTGGGCCGAGATCGGATGCTTCGCTGGTCATGAGATACTCTAGAAGTTCCTCGTTGCCAAATCTTGCGGCGAGCTCAACATAGTCTCCAAATACACAGCTGTTATTGGGGCTCTTAGGATTTGACAACATGGCATCTTGTAGTTTTGTAGACTGCCGAATGTACGATAGCGTATTGGTGCAAAGCGCGGCACCAAAAAGCTGTTTTTCGGTTTCGATAGAGTCCCACTTGAGTGTACGTCGGAAATCATCCCTCAAACGCTGCTTATTCGACTTGCTTGCCCATGCCTCCACTGGGAAAAGAGTGTGAACCACGTTTGCGATGATGCTATCGTCGAGCTTATGGCCGTGGCTCAGAGCTGCTATCTGAACGGCTATGTTTCGGACGTCAATTAGGAACCGATTGCCATTCAAAGGCTCATTCATGACTCGATACTCCAGATAGGACTGATAAAAGTAGATCACCTCCCACGAATAGCAACGGATGAACATGGTCCCATCGAGTAGCCGGAAGGTACGGAGTGCGCGCATCACCTCTTGCGCGAAATAATCTAGCGGTCGTCAGCTTTGAAGCTTAACACAGGATAGTGCTCCATACGGTTTATGAGTCTCAGACGCAGACCTCTTTTCGTTCCCCGAGCAAGGATGGCATGGTGTAAGATCGCCTCAAAGAGCTCCCTAGACAGATCAAGGAGCTTCATCGTGCTCTGATAGCTGTCCCTCCTCTGGTAAGTGTGCAAAGGATGGCCGTGTGATGAAGATGCGGTTACTTTGGAAGCGAATTACTGTGTCCAGTTGGTTGGCGTCCCTTGTGACAAGGAAGAGGCGTGGCAGGGCGCTCTGCGGTATTCGCCATTGCGGCACGGTATCTTGAATAGGTTTGCGGCACAGACGGGGCCAACGATTGTAAGCCTCGCATTACTTAGGCGCCAATAGGAGTCGTGGTACGCGAAAGTGATTATGAATCGGTACCGTGTGTGGAACTCTCTTTGCAGAAGGGGCTATGTAGCTTGCGAGAGCGCTAGCCCCTCGATCACGTCGATCGGGCTAGCTCAGGGTCACGCCCGACATCTGGAAGCTAGTCTTCAGGGCTTGTAAACCTCCCGTCAATCCACACTTGGGCAGCTGCGGCTTCGCGACCTAACGTTCTGAACGATTATCCCGCATGACAGCTTGCGGCATCGCATAAACCTCGCATGCGATCATGACTGATACTATTTCTAGGCACGCCAGCCCCCGGGGCTCACTTGATGGTCTTTCGCTTTGACCTCATGCCGGCAACACATGTGGGTAAGTCGTCTCAACCACGCACACCACATGTGTTAATATTGCGACTATACGACGCTGCAATTAGTCTCAACTAACGAGGCGCGGCTCAATAACACGATGGAGACGTGCGCTCTGTAAGCAAGGCTTCGTACGTTTCGATGAGCCAATATATTTCTAGCCCACATTTCGGAAAGGAGGAACGAGTGAATTAACAGGAAAACAGGAGGAGTGAGCGATCGTGACGGACCCAACATACGAAATATCCATCGCTCTCCAATCTACCCTGTCCTCCGCCCAACATCCTCATCTACGTTGCCCAACGCAACCCTCCGTCAATCAGCATCAGTGCTTCCTATGGAGAACTCGGAATGTACACATCCTGAACAGTCTCCCACAGCTCGTCAGGCCTCTGTAGATGATGTAGCTCACTTGCAGGGAAGCCAATGGGCTCGTCACCCCTCCTCCAGATTACATTTTCCTCGCCAAGGTGGAAAGCTTCGGCCGGTTCCATGTAGACATTCGAAGTGTCTTCCTTCACAGGCACAACTGTGATACTATCCACACGGGCATTACGGGTAAGATCCGGAACCTCGAACGTCCACCAATTCGAGCCCTTGTCGGAATACGGTTGATTCACACCGTGGCCACTGGGCAGTACAACGTAGACCCTTCCTCCTACTGCTTGAGCATAAGCTTTGGAATTCGCAGCCCAGTAGTAGTCAAGACTGGAGGGAGCTTGGAATGCATTATACTCCTTCGCGTACCTCCCACTCCCGGCGTTCGGTAGTACGTTATTCATAGAAGGCATCGTATTATGCCCGAGTTGAAGTCTGTCTTCAAGATTTCGCTTAAAGATGCTGTCTTTCTTTTCTCGATCGAGTCCAGAGTAGAAGAACCATGGTTGTCCGGTGAGTCCGTCCTGAGTGATAGTTTGGCGAAATTGGCTAGCACGAGTTGCAACATCGATGACTGGAACAGATGCGTCGTCGGGATCGAAAGGGTCGCTCGCCGATGCTGCTGGCTGGTTATGATTGTTCCTTGCTGATGGCGGATACTGAACGGCGTTTGGCTGACCGGGATTGTTAGCCGCGGGTGCGTTCGGGGCTGGATTGGGATTTGGAGCCGGATTGGGGTTCGGGTCGGGAGCTGCTGGTTGCGAACTAGAGCCTGGACCGCCCGTATCATCCCCGTTGTTGTTAAACGCTCCTTCGGTTTCCTGCGAATCGGAAAAGCCACCAGAGGTCTCCTGCTGCTCACTGAACCCCCCAGACTCACCCTGCTGATCACCGGCATCAGAAGGAGTGTTCTGCTGGTCTGGATTTACATGAGGTGCGTTTGGACTGTTGTCGTTGGGTCTGTCTGGTCGTCCTCCGCCACTGGCTCTGCGGTCGAGTGCGGGCGGGAGAGCATCAGTACGGGAAAGACGAGGCCAATTCGTGTTGTTGAATGGGTGGCTACAATCGACTTCGTTCTGGCATGGAGCGATCGGTATGATTGGTTTGCCGCTACTTTGGAGGATGTATGCGGACAACAATCCAAGAGCAATTGTCTTTGGCACCGAGTGACGCATGTTGATGGTGTTGTTGAGTGGCGAAGGTGTTCTGATACGAAGATATAATGTGCAGAATGATCTTAATATTAGATTTTGGGTGAAGAAGGGAGTAGGTCACTGTTGTGCTGGACGTCGGGTCAGGAGTCGTGGCTCTTATGTCTTCCTCCGTCGTTGCTCTGCGTGTCTCGTCCCACCGAACTTTCCTGGGGTCACATTCGAATCAGACAACAGATTTGCACATCTAGCCTCATGCCAGATTTCACATCTCAATGCTACGTCATAACTACTCGTTATTAAAGGCAGCGTTTGGGTTCTTTGTCCATGTGCTGCGGACGGCCCGTGGCGAAGTTCGGCAGTGACACTATGTGGAACACGATCGCCGTGTTGGATGTCATGTATGCTCTTCGAAGAGGTGGTAATATCTCTAGATGAAACTTAACAGTAGATTAAGTCGCGTCCGGGTCTTGCGGGGGCGGCTTGTAAGTGACGATGGTCGCCACGCCGCAAGTCCAGACGCCGCACGTTGAGGCGGCGCAGAGCCATTACCACACCGATGTGATGACATACGGCGCCATATTTGATTACCCTATGTCACAGAAGGGGGCCATGGTCGTTTTCATCGCATCCTAATGGAGTTGGGACTGCGGCATAGAAAGGAGATGGAGTACTCAGTGTCGCGACTCGAAGCCGATGTAACTGCCGACACCACAAATGCAGTGAGATGACGCAGAAACAAGGACATATAAGGAGTAATCGAGAGTACAGTGATGGCATCCTGCATCTCAAGCTCACGAAAGTCGAACGAGCATGACGCGTGCAGTGTAGGTGACACCATCATTACGAGAATGGGGTCCAGAGGGTCTTGCATCAGGACACGAGAGGCCAAAGGGACACGTCGCGATCTCTTGTGTGGACAATGCAACTTCTATGTCCTGTCACTATCAGATATAAGAAGCGAGCAAAGCGGCAGTCGATGAGAGCATCAACATCAGGTATCGCTACAATCTTCAACTACTATCAATTATTCCAAACGGTCCCAAACATTCTTATCCTAGTAACCACATCTTGTACTATCGCATTCCCTCCTATTCAAAGTTTCATACTTGTACATCTTATCACCTCTCGCCATGTCAGGTTTCTTCGCCGAGCTCGGTCTCAGTGTAGCTTTCACCATGATCAGTCTTGCTCCCATGGTCCCCGATTGGCTCAACGGCAACCCCAAGCCACAAACCAAGGTCAACGTACTGGTCGGTCTGCCGCCGTTAGATGCCGATGAACAGAATAAGAAGGACGAGATCTACAAGAAGTTGAGCTACGGCGGATGCGCTCCGGAAGTGTCACTCTTCAACGCCAACGGAGACCGGGTTGGCTACAGCAAAAACAAGAAATGCAAGCAGGTCATTAGCCAGAACAGTCCCACCGACATCTGGGCCGACTACATCAAGCCAGGCGAAACGGAGAAAGCCGAGTACATCACCGTATCCGCATCTGGAACCGACGCTATCTGCATCTCAGCTATAGCAGTCACATACCCCACTAGCAGCGACACGTACGCTTTCCTGCCCGGCGAGGTAGCTGCCATATGCAACACGCACAACCCAGATTACAAGTACTCCTGGTCCCCATCCGCGACACAGATCCAGTTCAAGTCCGAATCCGGGCAGACCCAAGACGGGCGACCGAAATGCCTGTGGATCGACAAGCCCGACGACGACGGAGACTCAGCGACCCACTACGAAGGATTCCAAGTTCATCTTCCCGACTTCAAGCTTGACAACACTACCTTCCATGGATGGCAAGAAGACCCCGGACAGATGTGCGACTCGCTGGCGCGATTTGGCTCATACGACAGGCTCGACCCAATGCTCTGCCCAGAGATCTTCAGTCCGGCGCCACCTAAAGGTGCAAATCTTCCTTTGGATACCGTCTCGGCATGTATACCAGCTGCGAAAGACAGCACGACAGACCCTGACATCTGCGAGGACGACCGTTTCACGTACCAGGAACGATACGATCTCATTGTTATGTACGACCAGATGTGTCTTAACGAAGATTGGTGGTATTATAAATGCGAAGAAAGGCTTTCATGCCCGCCCGGACCGTCAAAGCATCGGTCGCTTCTAAGATCGCGATCTTCTTCATCCTACTGGCCATTTCCCCATACTCCCAGATCGAAATATCGGCGCACTTCACCCGACCATCCGCTCCAGAGGCAGTTCGATGGAGTACTAGTCAAGAGTCAAGATGTTACGCAAAGTGCAGTGGAAGTTTGTCAGAGTAACGGCAGTGTCGGACCTGACTTCTATTCCGAGCCCGAGCAGATGTTCTGCGACATGAAGACGCGTGAACTGTATCCAGCATGTAACGGTACGGTTCAGATGACTTGTTTCGATCCAACTCAAAATGAGACGAGAATTGAGACTGGTGACGGAGAAGTGGATAAGCGTGGCGAGCAAAGGACATATGTGGAAGTGAAGGATTGGTCGTGAACGGGACGAGCAGATGGATGATCGCACAGGGCTGGTCCCAACGTTGATATGTGTCGAAGTTGGAGAGCGTAGATATCGGTCCCGATCAGCTGATTGTGGCTACGTGATCGCTCGGCGCTCGGCTATATAGCGAGGGATTTCATCCCAACTTTCTTATGTAGTAATCAATCACAACATACTTAAATATCTCCGATCTTCGATCGTCTCGCCAGCTCCAACAACATGTCGTTTCCAGTTGTACCTCCTCGTATCTAATACCTCATACTCCTCACCCCCTTCTTATGACTAGGACTATCCATCCAACTCTCCTTAAACCTATCCTCTCCATCATCATCCTGATCCACATCCCCCAGATCAATACCAGTAACACCATCCACATCTTCACCGTCACTTCCAAACTCTTCCTGACCACCAACGCCGCCTTCAGGACTCCAAACCGGACTTGTAGCAATCTTCGGTCTTGACTTGAACACCCTATCGTAATCCACTTCGTCACTGAATAGTTGCTCGGTGGGTGTACGCTCTATGCTTTCGAGCTTTGCTTGTTCTAGGAGTTCGAACGATTTGCGGTTCCGGGGTGTATCAAATTGGTTGACGGGGAAGAGTGATGATCGGCTAGATTTACGCTGTTCCTTCTGTGCTGTGGCGGAGGGGCGGGGGTTGGATTGCATGGCTTCCATAGTGAGCCGGGTTCGTTCGGCCAGTGTTGCGCGTCGGTCGCCGTCTTCATCTCCAGTGATAGAAGGGATAGGTGGTGGTCCCATAGATGGCAACGGGAGATCAGGTGACTCTGGAACAGGTTCGAAAGAGTTTGTCCGTGCCATTGTCATGCGTGTGCGTCCGATGAGCGAAAGGGACATACGTGGTTGAGGTTTCTTGATCGGAGATGGGGTCGCATTACCGATGGAGTTGATGATCTGGTCGGCAAGTGCTTCTTCAGCATTTAGTTCTGGGGGATCGAAAGTTGGGATTGGTGGTTCAGAGGGGTATTCTGGCGATGGCTCAAGTAGCTTTTCAGGAGAGAGGTCTGTTTTTTGCTCTGAGTAATTACCAAGTGTCTTGGCAGCTCCAGACGATGAGTTGTCGACGATTGGCTCGGAAACAGCAGGCCTCGTCTCCGGTACTGGTGTGCGCTCGTTATCAGTCTCCGTCGGGGATGCTTCATGCTGAGTCGTAGCTCTACTCAACGCAGATGATTGGCCAATTAGTGTGGCATCTGAGTCGATTGGTGTGGCAGTTGTCGGAACGTGCCGAGATGGTCGGGGTAGGATCGGGACATGTTCTAACGAGTTTGGTCTTGATGGTGACTGTAATTTGACAGGCTTAGCTGGAATCACTGGTGCTTTGCGTATCGTCTCCGTCTGAGTAGACTTCCTTGTGAGAAGTGGTGGGCGAGCAGCCTTGGCCGTCGAGGTACTTCTATGATGTATAATTGTAGATGCAGTACTAGCCCTGACTTTGGCGGCTCGCGCCAGCTCACTGTCCATATCAGACAGGATGTCTTGAAACTCCGTTCGTATAGTCGGCCTCTTTACACTCCCAGATTCTGCGGTGTGCTTCGCCGACGGCAATTGATATTGCGAGTGATCATCGAAGTGGAACTCCTTTACTGGCGCCGTAGTCTGTCCGCTTCCCGATGTTTCTTTCCCTGACTCGTCGTTTTGTAGCTCAGCATGGAAAGCCTTCCACTTTTGTAACCTCTCCTGCTGCTCTTGCACTCTTGCTTGCAGATTCTCCAGTAATCCAGTTTCAGGCGCGACATCTTCTAGCTTTCTGCCTTTCTCCACCATATGCAAGACCTTGTCGAAACGGCTGTTTAGGAACGCATCGTCCGCCTGTACGTTCTCGCCGCGTAGCATTACGTCGAGCCACTGTTGGTTGCCAACCCAGTTGTCCTTGAGCTGTTTCTTGATGGCATTTGCTTCTTTCTGTGGTATCGCTGGCTTTTGCGCTCGAGGGATTTCTTTGCATTTGCCTATGCGACCCCGGATATCTGCTGCCTTTTTGTCCAGAAGACCATGGAATTCCATGTACTTCAGCCTCTTCTCTTCTTTCTGTCTCAGCACGTTGACGAGCGCTGCCTTGTGTGCGATAGCTAGGGGCAGTAATGACCGTTGCTGTTCGACTGAGAGTGTTGACGCTGTCGCAAGTTTTCTTGCGACAACGGCATCTCTGCCACCTCCGTCTTGCGCCGCAAGAACCTTTTTGAGTACGGCATTCGAAAATACAGCCAATATCTCGTAGAACTTCTCGCCCTTGCACTCGTCAAGCATTGTCTTCCTAAGAACTGACTCTCTGCCCAAAGCGCCGTTCTTCTTCAGTTCGTTCAGACATCGGTATAGCGCAGCGCGGAGGTTTAACGATTGGAGTGGTTCAAGCGGCGGGAAGAAGGGTTGGAGTTTCTATAGCTGAGTCAGACATAGATCAGCGTGAGGTTTCATCCCAGCATACCTGTGCTGTCTCATTGGGATCCCATATTTCGAAGAGTCGAAATAGCGCCCATTCAGCCCCGCCAATTCTCTGTCGCTGGTCTGCATTCTTTGCCGAGAAAGTTTGTATTGTGATTTCAGGCCAATCCGGTCGCAAATCCAAATCCAACAATCGCAAATTCGTTACGAAAAGGCGGATATCGGGCGCTGCTATTGGGTTCACTGCTTGAGGTTTGGGAATTGTCTTGACCGACGCGGTGCGCGCATGGCCGCTCATGGTAGTCGCGGTGGCCGTAGAGGCGGTTGAGGGCGGTCGAGACATGTTCGCGACTGCAAGGCATACATTCGCGCGGCGACCCTGGTCAAGGTCCCTGAGACTTGGGGTGCATGCGTGGTGTTGCGGTGTGACGGGACCCTTGCGTTGTTTGCCAAGGCGGGTGTTATCGATAGGTCCGTTCGCGCCTTCTGTTCCCTGTCTGACTTTCGTCACTTGTCCCGCCATTCTTCACTCGCCAAACAGTCACCGTTTATAAGACAATCACGCACCCACTGGACTTCTATAAACCTCCTACCCCGAACCGCATTCGAGACACAAAGCAATCATGACAGTCGACGAAGCAACCCAGGTCAACGGCGTGCCCGACCCTAACGCCGGTGTACTTGACGCGAAGAAAGCAGAACAGAAGAAGTGGACAGTCGAGAGTGGTATGTCATGAACAAGCAATAGCTCGTCCGTATGCGACACCTCTCTTACCCCTCATACCTCTCATCAACATAGCGCTAACCTACCCCAAAGTCCTTGCAGAGAACGCACTTAAGTACGCCGAAAATACCGACTCACCGCTCCCCTTCTTCCACCTCCTCGAGCGTCTAAAGACGACCAAGCGTGCGGGATGGCAGCGTTTCAAAATTGGCGATGGCGAATCTATATCCGACCACATGTACCGCATGAGCATCCTCACCATGATGGCTCCTGCTTCAATAAGCTCCAAGCTCGACATTGCGCGATGCTGTCGCATGGCTGTTGTCCACGACATGGCTGAGGCGCTTGTCGGCGACATTACACCTGTAGACGGAATCGCCAAGGAGGAGAAGAGCAGGAGAGAGACCGAGACCATGGACTACATCTGCACAAACCTGCTGGGCAAGTTCAACGGTGGACTCAACGGCCAGGACATTAGGGCGTTATGGCAGGAATACGAGGACAGCGAGACGGCCGAGTCGCACTTTGTGCACGACATCGACAAGATTGAGCTTCTCGTTCAGATGGTCGAATACGAGCGCACGTCCAAGTGTGAGAATGATCTTGGGGAATTCCAGTGGGTCGCAGATGTTATCAAGAGCGAGGAAGTCAAGGCATGGGCGCAGCAGATCATCCGTGAGAGGGAGCAGCTGTGGAGCGCTGCCGGCAAGATAGCGAAGCCTGCTAGTGCGTACAAGAAGTCGCCTTGATAGACAACCGCGTATGGTGCCGAGCGCACTCGCATTACGATAGACGGGCTTCTTCACTGGCGCATTTCATGAGGTACGACGGCTTAGTAGACGGTAATTGCATGTCTAGAATTCATCTTTCCGTATGTAAACATCATTTCTCTCTCAGTCGTGATGTTTAATCCTCTTCACCCCTCTCAAGGAGGCCTTTCAACTTGACATCAACAACAACTCCAGCACTTAAGAATTAGACAAGCTAATCAATCTCCTCTTCTTCACCTCCCTACTCGGCGTCCCCGCGAGCCTAGGCATACCCCCAGCCACTCCGTTATCCCCAAAACCATAATCATGCTGGCTATACCCACTACTCCCACTCGCACTATTCCAAACCCCCTTCGCCCCCAACCCCCCATACTCGCCCTTCCTAATCTCATTACCAGACCTACGTCCATGCCAGTAACACAAGTCCGCGCTGGGCCCCCTATACTTCGGATGCAGAGGGCACAGCGGACTATTAGGAAGGTGTTCAGGGACGAGCCATTCAAACTTGCGTCGCTCTTCTTCTTCCTGGCGGGCGAGCGCTGCGAGAGTGCGTTCGTCGGGGGTGTCGGGGTAGTGCGATTGGTGGATGCGGGACCAGACGTCGTGGCCCAGCATGGGGGACGTTGCGGCTAGGGAGGGACTGGCTGGTGGTTTTACGCCCAGGTAACCTGCTGCGTTGCCAATCTCGTTGCTTGTGCTTGCCGTGAGGGCGCTGCTCGGGCCAAAGTCAACGGGTTGGTTGATGAAGTCGCTGCGTGGGCCTTCGGGACCTTCATCTTCCCCTTCATCCTCGGGGTTGTCGATATCGTTTGCTAGGCTCATGAGTAGGGCGTCGGAATCCCAGTAGCCGCCTGGGCTGGACTTGGGCTTGTTGCGTGTGTTGACCGCGCCGCCGCCGTGGACGTCGAAGAAGAAGTCTGCTAGCTTGCCTTTGACTTCGCCGTTTGAGTCGAACATGGGTGGGGTTGGTACGCGTTGGAGGCCGGGAGGGATGAAGGCTTGCGGTGCATGCATCTGTGCGAGAGACTTCACTGGAGGTACCTGTTTGCCCCGAGCCGGGAAGAAGGAAAATGGAGTTTGTTGTTTGGTAGCCTCTGTGCCATTTTGGTCGGAGATGCGGTTTGAGCGTCGGAAGGGATTGAAAGAGAAGCGGCGATTGAGCGATTGCGCTGGTCCAGGAGAGGGAGGTGCATCTTCGCTCGATTTGTTCAGCCATAGCCAGCGGCGCGAACGTGTCGCCTTGGATTCGCTCGCTATTTGCTGCAACTCTGCCTTTGTTCGGGCTTGCTGTTCTCTGTATGTCTTCTCTTCTGCTGGGGTCCAACTCCCATCAGGTGTCTTGGCCACCGTCGAATCGCTGGCACTCGTACCACTCTTCTCACTCCTGCCACTTCTCGTTCTTTTCGATCTCGGACGTTCAATGTAACACCGATCTCGTACTTTCGGTGGCGGTCGTTCGAACTTCGGGGATTGCGACGAGAAGATCGCATCGGTATCGGGCAGGAGACCTATGCCACCTTTGTTGTCATTCCTCAGCGCTGAGGTGCTGTCCCGAATGTAGTCTTCTTCGAGGATTGGCGTAGCTTTGGCCATTGGCATTGGCTCCCACTTCGCCTGCTCTTTGCGAATCCACGGTGTTTTAGGACTTCGCGCGCGTGGAGCACCGAGGTTGGCCATGATATCGACGGGTGAGCGGCCGCGAGCAAGTAAGTCGGGAATGACGGTTGGCATGGAAAGATCGAGATTGACCTTTCTGCGGTCCCGTAGTCCGCCTTTCCGCGTTGGAGACTGTGGACTCGACGGTATCTTTACATCTTTTGTCGGTGTTGTTGGCTCTTCGATAACAACGGATGGCTTTGGTGCTTGCTCGTAGGACTCCTTTGCCTTGACAACAGGGAGTGGTGCGAATGATAGCATGCGGTCCTTCTTGTTTAGTTTAAGCGGAATTCCTTCCTGGGGATCGCGCCGGTCTTGGTCATCTTTGCCGTCGGGCATGTGCAGCATCCTGAATTCTGGTACGTGCCGTACGATGCCCTTGGCAAAAGCTGCGATAGATGACCTTCTATGATCGCGGACGTAAGAATCATTGGTTTCTGTCGAAAAGGAACCCGTTCGAGCTGTAGTCTCAGAGGTGCGCGAGTCCATACTGTCGATATGCTGTAGCTTGCTGTTTTGTATGTGGTCCGCATCGTCTATCGTCGTCCGTCGAATTATCTCTTCCAGCGGTGGAGGTGTTTTCGGGCGTTCTTGCTCCATCGCCATCGGGTTGCGACTGTGCCTGCTCTCATTTCCAAGGCCTGATCGTTGATCCCAGCTGAAACCTTCACGTCTGTCGACATGTCGCCTTGGGGTGATTCCTTCGTCATTTTCTGATGACTCAGTGCTGACGATCTGGTCGGCATGGTCCTGAAGTGAGGTGTAATGTCTAGTGAGAGACGTCGGCGAGCTCGGACCCAGGAAGCTACCGAGATCGTGTGCAGAGGGTGCGATCAGCCCTTGTATGCCCGAAGGTGTGATAGAGGCATACGCGGGGGTATCGATTGCGTGGGCCCTGGTCGGTGGTGCCGATAGCATGAGCGGACCGGCGATGAAAGCCACTGTTGCGTATTTGAAGCGTGTGCGCCCAGTCGATCACGCATCTAGTGGACGGTATGTTGATTAGCAAACCGATGGTGAGGTCAATAGGTGTATCGTAGGTGGGTGCGCAAAAAGAATAGGTAGCGCGCAATGGTAGGAAACATGGTGTTGCTCTGAGCTGGGATGTAGAGGAAGCTTGTATCTTTGGTTTCCGCATCAGGAAGGAGACATGGACGACAAGACATCTTAACGAGGAAGTGGCCGTTTGGGCCGCGAATGTGCATACCAACTTCCCAACCGGGACATTAGTGTCATAAACAAGACTCCACCAACACCATTCCTATGCAGAACTACACGGATATCTTTCCACTCCGCAAATCAAGCCATGCATACCGGGTATCCAAACCATGCCTCATAACACATTACGCAAACATCAATACCTATCCAGATGATCCCGACGAGGCTTGCACCACACTAGTGCCGTCGACAAACCGTGTGCGGAAGATGCGGTTTGCATTTTGGAACATGCCGTCCTTCAAACTGACGACGATGAACTGCGATCCCTTGAAACGGGTCTTGAACAAACGACCGATGTTTTGTGTGTGCGACAGGTCCAACGCGGCATCGACTTCGTCCAGAATGTACATGGGTGCAGGCTTGAACTGGAGGAGAGCCATGATGAGGGATAAGGCGATAAGTGATCTAGAAAATGTTAGCGCATGTGATTCGGGCGAGTACGGGTGAGTACATACCTTTGACCACCACTCAGCTCTGTCAGTGACTGCTTCCACACCTTGCCCAGCATGACTTTTACTTCCAGACCATCAGAGATCGTCTTTCCCTCGGGAGGATCCAATTTCGCGAAACTGCCTGGCAGCAGCTCGTTGAAAATTTGACCGAAATCGCGATTTACAATTGTCCAGGTCTTGTGCAGCGCCTCTTTCTTGTACTCATCAAGCTTGACGATGGTCTCTTCGATCTTCGATTTGTCTCGGATGACTGTCGACATGTTCCGCTTGAGGCTGGCTTCTTTCTTCTCAACGTTGTCGATCATAGCCATGACCTTGGGGTTGATCTTGTTCTTCTTCTGCTGGAAGTGCTCTTCCAACGACTTCCGCCTGGTTTTCGCGTCGGCCATGTTCACGCCTTTGAAGTCATAGACTGTTCCGGCACGCCCAAAGAGTTCGGAATCGCTCGCGATGAACTCGTACTCCTTTTCGAGCGCCTTGACATGGCTAGCTGCGCCTTCCTGTTCTTTGTGGAATCTTTCGATCTCATGGCCGAGCTTCTGTTGTTCCAGACCGCCTTCAGTGATGGACGAGTTCTTCGACCTGATCGCATCTTCAAGTGAGCGAAGTTCTTCGTCGAAGCCTGTGAGTTTCGCTTGTTCGTCTCTCAAGTGGGCTGCAGCCAGGTCATGGGCGTCCTAACGAGGTTAACATTGACATGTGACATTGGTCCAAAGAACTAACCTGTACACGAGATTGCTCAGCTAGCAACTCGTCGACTTCTGCTTGCTGCGACTGCAGATTGGTCTGAACCTCTTCAAGTTGCTCTTGTGCTGCCGCCAGGTCACTCCCGCATTGCTCGGACTCGACCATAGCTTCGCGCATCTCGGTCTGCAGGGGCTTGATCGAAGCGCTATTCTTGTTCAAAGCCTTCTTGAGCTTGTCCAGTGATGACTGTAGTTCAGCAAGCTTGCTGTCCTTGTTGTTGCTAAACTCGCTCATGTCGCGTTCGATACGTTTGACGTCCTTGTTGGCCTCGTCTTGGCGAGTCTTCGCCGCTTTTATGTCTTCCTTGAGCTGAGCAATGGTCTGCTTCATCTCTTCTACGGCTTGGATGATCTAATTCATGATTAGCAAAGCCCGAGGTTCACCTTACACGACTCATCACTTACCGATGAGGAAGAGTTGCTGCCAATCTGCTCCTCAGTGAGTTTGATCTCGTGCCTCTTGAGGTCGAGCTCCTGCTTCGATTTCCGAGCAGCATCCAACTTCTTCTTCTCTTTGGCCATCGTGGCCTGCAGCGACTGAAGCTGGGCTTCTTGCGAACTCAGCTCTGTCGTAATCTCATTGAGCTTCTGGAGAGTAATGAGAACCCCGCTAGATTGAGGTGCGCTACCACCAGACAGAACACCAGCAGGGTCGTATGTGTCGCCTTGCAGAGTGACACTCTTCATGCGAACTGCAGGATCGAAGGTCACGCGCTTAGCGGTCTCGGCGTCCTCACAGACCAGTGTGGATCCGAAGACGTACTCCATGGCGGCGTTGACCTCGTGCTCGTATCCGATCAACGACAAGGCCAAGTCGACCTTTCCTGGCGCGATCTTCTGAGCAGCCCCAATCTTCTCTGCCGATGCCTTGAAAGCTGCAATCTTGTTGAGTGGAATGATCGTCACT